GTAAGGTACTAGGGAGTGTCAGGAAGTAAGGTACTAGGGAGTGTCAGAAGTAAAGTACTAGGGAGTGTCAGGAAGTAAGGTACTAGGGAGTGTCAGGAAGTAAGGTACTAGGGAGTGTCAGGAAGTAAGGTACTAGGGAGTGTCAGGAAGTAAGGTACTAGGGAGTGTCAGAATTAAAGTACTAGGGAGTGTCAGGAAGTAAGGTACTAGGGAGTGTCAGAAGTAAAGTACTAGGGAGTGTCAGGAAGTAAGGTACTAGGGAGTGTCAGGAAGTAAGGTACTAGGGAGTGTCAGAAGTAAAGTACTAGGGAGTGTCAGGAAGTAAGGTACTAGGGAGTGTCAGAAGTAAAGTACTAGGGAGTGTCAGGAAGTAAGGTACTAGGGAGTGTCAGGATAGTAAGGTACTAGGGAGTGTCAGAAGTAAGTACTAGGGAGTGTCAGAAGTAAAGTACTAGGGAGTGTCAGAAGTAAAGTACTAGGGAGTGTCAGGAAGTAAGGTACTAGGGAGTGTCAGAAGTAAAGTACTAGGGAGTGTCAGAAGTAAAGTACTAGGGAGTGTCAGGAAGTAAGGTACTAGGGAGTGTCAGGAAGTAAGGTACTAGGGAGTGTCAGAAGTAAAGTACTAGGGAGTGTCAGGAAGTAAGGTACTAGGGAGTGTCAGAAGTAAAGTACTAGGAGTGTCAGAAGTAAAGTACTAGGGAGTGTCAGAAGTAAAGTACTAGGGAGTGTCAGAAGTAAAGTACTAGGGAGTGTCAGGAAGGTACTAGGGAGTGTCAGAAGTAAAGTACTAGGGAGTGTCAGGAAGTAAGGTACTAGGGAGTGTCAGAAGTAAAGTACTAGGGAGTGTCAGAAGTAAAGTACTAGGGAGTGTCAGAAGTAAAGTACTAGGGAGTGTCAGAAGTAAAGTACTAGGGAGTGTCAGGAAGTAAGGTACTAGGGAGTGTCAGAAGTAAAGTACTAGGGAGTGTCAGGAAGTAAGGTACTAGGGAGTGTCAGAAGTAAAGTACTAGGGAGTGTCAGAAGTAAAGTACTAGGGAGTGTCAGAAGTAAAGTACTAGGGAGTGTCAGAAGTAAAGTACTAGGGAGTGTCAGGAAGTAAGGTACTAGGAGTGTCAGAAGTAAAGTACTAGGGAGTGTCAGGAAGTAAGGTACTAGGGATGTCAGAAGTAAAGTACTAGGGAGTGTCAGAAGTAAAGTACTAGGGAGTGTCAGAAGTAAAGTACTAGGGAGTGTCAGAAGTAAAGTACTAGGAAGTGTCAGGAAGTAAGGTACTAGGGAGTGTCAGAAGTAAAGTACTAGGGAGTGTCAGGAAGTAAGGTACTAGGGAGTGTCAGAAGTAAAGTACTAGGGAGTGTCAGAAGTAAAGTACTAGGGAGTGTCAGAAGTAAAGTACTAGGGAGTGCCAGAAGTAAGGTACTAGGGAGTGTCAGAAGTAAAGTACTAGGGAGTGTCAGGAAGTAAGGTACTAGGGAGTGTCAGAAGTAAAGTACTAGGGAGTGTCAGGAAGTAAGGTACTAGGGAGTGTCAGAAGTAAAGTACTAGGGAGTGTCAGAAGTAAAGTACTAGGGAGTGTCAGAAGTAAAGTACTAGGGAGTGTCAGGAAGTAAGGTACTAGGGAGTGTCAGAAGTAAAGTAACTAGGGAGTGCCAGAAGTAAAGTACTAGGGAGTGTCAGAAGTAAAGTACTAGGGAGTGTCAGGAAGTAAGGTACTAGGGAGTGTCAGAAGTAAAGTATAGGGAGTGTCAGGAAGTAAGGTACTAGGGAGTGTCAGAAGTAAAGTACTAGGGAGTGTCAGGAAGTAAGGTACTAGGGAGTGTCAGAAGTAAAGTACTAGGGAGTGTCAGAAGTAAAGTACTAGGGAGTGTCAGAAGTAAAGTACTAGGGAGTGTCAGAAGTAAAGTACTAGGGAGTGCCAGAAGTAAAGTACTAGGGAGTGTCAGAAGTAAAGTAATAGGGAGTGTCAGGAAGTAAGGTACTAGGGAGTGTCAGAAGTAAAGTACTAGGGAGTGTCAGGAAGTAAGGTACTAGGGAAGTGTCAGAAGTAAAGTTCTAGGGAGTGTCAGGAAGTAAGGTACTAGGGAGTGTCAGAAGTAAAGTACTAGGGAGTGTCAGAAGTAAAGTACTAGGGAGTGCCAGAAGTAAAGTACTAGGGAGTGCCAGAAGTAAAGTACTAGGGAGTGTCAGAAGTAAAGTACTAGGGAGTGTCAGGAAGTAAGGTACTAGGGAGTGTCAGGAAGTAAGGTACTAGGGAGTGTCAGAAGTAAAGTACTAGGGAGTGTCAGAAGTAAAGTACTAGGGAGTGTCAGGAAGTAAGGTTACTAGGGAGTGTCAGGAAGTAAGGTACTAGGGAGTGTCAGAAGTAAAGTACTAGGGAGTGTCAGAAGTAAAGTACTAGGGAGTGTCAGAAGTAAAGTACTAGGGAGTGTCAGGAAGTAAGGTACTAGGGAGTGTCAGAAGTAAAGTACTAGGGTGTGTCAGAAGTAAAGTACTAGGGAGTGTCAGAAGTAAAGTACTAGGGAGTGTCAGAAGTAAAGTACTAGGGAGTGTCAGAAGTAAAGTACTAGGGAGTGCCAGAAGTAAAGTACTAGGAGTGCCAGAAAGTAAAGTACTAGGGAGTGCCAGAAGTAAAGTACTAGGGAGTGTCAGAAGTAAAGTACTAGGGAGTGTCAGAAGTAAAGTACTAGGGAGTGTCAGAAGTAAAGTACTAGGGAGGGTCAGAAGTACTAGGGAGTGTCAGAAGTAAAGTACTAGGGAGTGTCAGAAGTAAAGTACTAGGGAGTGCCAGAAGTAAAGTACTAGGGAGTGTCAGAAGTAAAGTACTAGGGAGTGTCAGGAAGTAAGGTACTAGGGAGTGTCAGAAGTAAAGTACTAGGGAGTGTCAGAAGTAAAGTACTAGGGAGTGTCAGAAGTAAAGTACTAGGGAGTGTCAGGAAGTAAGGTACTAGGGAGTGTCAGGAAGTAAAGTACTAGGGAGTGTCAGAAGTAAAGTACTAGGGAGTGTCAGAAGTAAAGTACTAGGGAGTGTCAGAAGTAAAGTACTAGGGAGTGTCAGGAAGGTACTAGGGAGTGTCAGAAGTAAAGTACTAGGGAGTGTCAGAAGTAAAGTACTAGGGAGTGTCAGAAGTAAAGTACTAGGGAGTGTCAGAAGTAAAGTACTAGGGAGTGTCAGAACTAAAGTACTAAGGAGTGTCAGAAGTAAAGTACTAGGGAGTGTCAGAAGTAAAGTACTAGGGAGTGTCAGAAGTAAAGTACTAGGGAGTGTCAGGAAGTAAGGTACTAGGGAGTGTCAGAAGTAAAGTACTAGGGAGTGTCAGAAGTAAAGTACTAGGGAGTGTCAGAAGTAAAGTACTAGGGAGTGCCAGAAGTAAAGTACTAGGGAGTGTCAGAAGTAAAGTACTAGGGAGTGTCAGAAGTAAAGTACTAGGGAGTGTCAGAAGTAAAGTACTAGGGAGTGTCAGAAGTAAAGTACTAGGGAGTGTCAGGAAGTAAGGTACTAGGGAGTGTCAGAAGTACTAGGGAGTGTCAGAAGTAAAGTACTAGGGAGTGTCAGAAGTAAAGTACTAGGGAGTGTCAGAAGTAAAGTACTAGGGAGTGTCAGAGTAAAGTACTAGGGAGTGTCAGGAAGTAAGGTACTAGGGAGTGTCAGAAGTAAAGTACTAGGGAGTGTCAGAAGTAAAGTACTAGGGAGTGTCAGAAGTAAAGTACTAGGGAGTGTCAGGAAGGTACTAGGGAGTGTCAGAAGTAAAGTACTAGGGAGTGTCAGAAGTAAAGTACTAGGGAGTGTCAGAAGTAAAGTACTAGGGAGTGTCAGAAGTAAAGTACTAGGGAGTGTCAGAAGTAAAGTACTAGGTAGTGTCAGGAAGTAAGGTACTAGGGAGTGTCAGAAGTAAAGTACTAGGGAGTGTCAGAAGTAAAGTACTAGGGAGTGTCAGAAGTAAAGTACTAGGGAGTGTCAGAAGTAAAGTACTAGGGAGTGTCAGAAGTAAAGTACTAGGGAGTGTCAGAAGTAAGGTACTAGGGAGTGTCAGGAAGTAAGGTACTAGGGAGTGTCAGGAAGTAAGGTACTAGGGAGTGTCAGGAAGTAAGGTACTAGGGAGTGCCAGGAAGTAAGACATCAGAGAATGTCAGGAAAACACTAGGGTGTTAGGAAGATATCGGAGAATATCAGAAAGTAAGATATCAGGGAATATCAGGAAGTTTTCAGGGACTGTCAGGACGTAGATGTCAGGGACTGTCAGGACGTAGATATCAATGAATGTCAGCACATAGATATCAGGGACTGTCAGGGCATAGATATCAGGGGCTGTCAGGACATAGATATCAGGGATTGTCAGGATGTAGATATCAGGGACTGTCAGGACGTAGATATCAGGGACTATCAGGACACAGATATCAGGGACTGTCAGGACATAGATATCAGAGATTGTCAGGATGTAGATATCACGGACTGTCAGGACGTAGATATATTTTGGACTGTCAGGATGTAGATATCAGGGACTGTCAGGACGCAGATATCACGGACTGTCAGGACGCAGATATCACGGACTGTCAGGACGCAGATATCACGGACTGTCAGGACGTAGATATCACGGACTGTCAGGACGTAGATATCACGGACTGTCAGGACGTAGATATCACGGACTGTCAGGACGTAGATATCACGGACTGTCAGGACGTAGATATCACGGACTGTCAGGACGTAGATATCACGGACTGTCAGGACGTAGATATCACGGACTGTCAGGACGTAGATATCACGGACTGTCAGGACGCAGATATCAGGGAAAGTCAGATAATTAAGCACAGCAGCATAAATTAGCAAGTAGGTAATAGGTTAGTGCAGAGCCGAGAAGATAAAAGTACTGAGATAGACTGTCTCCTCAGATAGACTGTCTGCTCAGCATGAAGCGGACACGTCAACAAGACAGGTTTAAGGCAGCCTCCATTTTGGCTGAGAAGACCCGGAGAGATTTCAACAGGACTGGTTCTAGCACACTCACCATGGTCCTCTGCTCTAGTAGTGTTCTAGCATGTCACTCCACCTCTGATGGTTACTTCAGTACTAGCTAGCATCACCACTACGATTTTTTTCTAGTATTTATTTCTAAAACTACACAATATGTTAGCTTATTGGGGTTACAGATGCATATTAGATGCGTGTGACGTATTATCGTGTACTTAATACCCCCTGAAAGATAACAGGGTATATATTTCTTGGAATATATGCACTTGGAATTGGTTTTAATTCCTTATTTTAGGGATTAAGGTATCCTTGATAAGTGTGCGTGGGAAAAAAACGTTGTCTTAAGTGGTCTACGTGCACTTGATGGGGTTTCTTAAGGGAGCAAACTAACTAGCCAACACAGGCACTGTACAGCCCAGCTGGGTCATACTGCTAGCGTGTGTGTAATACCAGCGTGATCACTGATGGTAGCGTGCGTATCGTCACGGAGACGAGGGTAGCACACCCTCCTCGCACCAGTTCCTGCGTGATACTGCCACTACCAGTCCACCACGATACTGCCACTACCAGTCCACCACTACCTCATACCACCACAATCACACCAACTACACACCGCCTAGCGAATTACTCCACATACACATCCATATATTCCTGTGGTATCTTGTACCCACACGAAAAAATACTGTCCACTGGGTCGCCCCTATCAAGTGCCCTTGTCGTTGCGTAGTCTGGTAGATTCTCGGGATCTAATTCATAATTCATAAGTTTTGAAGAAATATATGGAAATAAAAATGGAGGAACATTGCAAGAGACGTACCGGCCCATACTTGGCCGGTCTTTCTCACATCCATCCTTTCTCATTGTCCACTGAATACTCGTAGAGATTTTGTAAGCCTGTCACTTGGTATCATCCGGTCCAAGACCAACTGGTCTTTTGAGAGGGGATGTTTGCAGTTTGGAAGGGTATCTCTGGCAAGACAGTAATGAAGTGAATGATGGTGAAAGAGTTTCTTCTTTTTCGGGTCACCCTAACTTGGTGGGAAACAGCCAATGGAACTTTTGTGTTGAGAACGAAGACTGGAACTTTCGCTGAATATATATATATATATATATATATATATATATATATATATATATATATATATATATATATATATATATATATATATAATATATATATATAAAAAATAAAATATAGGGAGGTACCACCTCTGGACCTGTGCTGGGGACACTCATCCTCAGAGAAAAGAATAAACTTACTTCAGGAAAAACTCAAGGTTCTCCCCCTGAAGCTGTTTGAATATTGTCTTCTCCTACCACGCCCTGTATTGTATATTATATGTAAACTTTATTTAAAGACAATATACATTGAAAAAAATACAATAAGGAGTAGAACAACATAGATAACATCTCAGAGCTACATCTCGAATACTTCGTCCAGCTCCCCGGCGGTGAGCCGCGTGCCCAGAATGTTGCAAGCATTTGTCCTCTGGATCGCAACACTGAGTCTCTGAAAGAGGAAGCTGGCCGCCCTGTGATCCTTGGTTTCTGTGATGAGTTTTTCACCCAGCTCTTTGAGGAACATTAGAGCACACATGCTTCATGCTCCAAGGGTCTCAGACCCTACTGGGATGAAGTTATAGCAAGGGGAAAGGCCTTCATATCTGTGGGTCTTCTGGGTCCCCCTGTGGCTGGCAGCTCCACCCCTTTCAGCTACAGAGTATGGCAAGTAGGTGTCTGCCAATGTGGCGGCACAGGTGTAGTCCCAGGCAATCTGCTTTCCATCCTTCCAGGGTAGCATAGTTGCTCCATCAGGACGCTTTTGACTTCCGTCAGACCTCTGCGCTTGGGGTTCCCGTTGAGCTGGGCAACGGGCTGTGGCGAGGCTTCTCTTTATGATGTCATTGACCTCCTCATGTCTGGCATACTTCCCTTCTGCTGTGTGACACACGAGACCATGAAGTCCGAATTGATTAGCTGTCGCCCTGCCGCAAATACACCTATGTTCGGTGAGGATGGGGGCGGCTAGGCGAAGAGCAACACCAATCCGAATGGTCTATGGGTCGAGTCGAGTGCCCAGGGAGGAATTGGGAACAGCTAAAAGGAAATGTCCTAAGTGTGGTGCCTTCACTGCCAGGAGACGAGCTTCGTCCTTTCCTGAAGCGTTGGTGAGCATTGTGTTGGCAATTTTTCCATGATCGGTTTGTCCCAGTGGGACTGTTAGTGTTCTTTGGGAGGAGCTGGTCTACTGGAGAAGTCTGCGAGGGTGTCCCACCCCACTGCTGCTTCAATGAGTTCCCACCGCGCTTCTCAAGCGTTCGGGGACAATCTCCTTGACTAATCCACTGGAAGCCAAACACGAAGACAGAAATGCAGGAAAAGCTACCTGCGTTGCTTTGCGCATCCATATACCTCCCAGTCTCACTGGGAATGTTGCCTGATCCCATTGGTGATCTTCCAGTGACAGATTCAGTGCCTTAAACACTAATCTCATGAGCGATTCATATTTCTTGAGTTTTGACAAAAGATGGTACACACCTCAGGAAGTGAGTCTTGGCAGAGTAAGACACCTTGTGGGGAAATACAGGGCATCATGGGCATCAAGATCGCTTATTCTCTCCTCTATTCTCTTCAGGTCATGTATATATATCAATAACAACACTGCAACTAGCCAGGGGATCGAACCCTGCCGAATATGTAAAACTTGCGATCTTGGCTTAAATAGCAACGCTCATCTTGTCATATAAGACAAACGGAAATTTGTGTATGCAATAATTTCGCAAAAATAATTCTGAACCTAATGAAAAAAATACATTTCAATTTTTGTTTAGTACTAAATTATTGTAAACGTATCAAAAATATATTTAGTTGGATTAGGCTAAAGTAAATTGCGTTTGTTATAATAAGGTTAGGAAAGTTTCCTAAGATTCTTTTGGTACAAAATTATAAATTTTTACATTAACATTAATAAAAAAAAATACATCTTTGAACATACAAGAGAAAATTTTAGAAAGAACTTAATTTTAAACGAGTTCTTGCTAATTGGCCAGTTTTACCTATTAGGCACGACATATATATATATTATATATATATATATATATATATATATATATATATATATATATATATATATATATATATATAAATGTGTGTGTGTGTGTGTGTGTGTGTGTGTGTGTGTGCAATAAGATCACAATAAACAGGTGATATCACAATATGCCAAACAACCACTTTGGAAAAATAGCAAAATTCCGAGCGCTTTCGTGACTTCTCACATTATCAAGGAACTATTAAAAAACAAAACATCAACAGGAAGGCATATAAAAGGGCAAGACTACACCTCGCAATCACTTCACTGTTCTTAGTAATTTATACATGGAATTATCTGAAACAAGGTTGCTTAACACAATCCTCCCTAATAGAGCTAAATGGTATAGATAACTTAATATTTTGTGTCTTATGCCCAAAAATGTAGATGTACACCATTTCCTTGGCAAATTAAATAGCTTAGCCCATTCTATAAACTTTACTGTTGAGTTTGAAGAAAATAACTCATTGCCTTTTCTAGATGTTTTAATTATTAAAGGTAATAATGAACTCAAATTTAAAATTTACAGAAAACCTACAAATAACTGTTCCTATGTCCACTATTATTCCTCGCATCAAGATAGAGTCAAACTGTCTGTTTTCTCATCAATGTTTTTGAGAGCTTTACGTATTTGTAGTCCAGAGTTCATAGATGAGGAAATATCCAAAATTTATTAAATATCTAATGATTTGAAATACCCAAGAAACGTAATTGATAAATCTTTTAAAATTGCTAGAAATACTTTTTACAATCCAAAAAGGGACAACCAGCCTTATTCAACTAAAAATATGTTGGTTCTCCATTACCATGAAAACTTGGTTGATATGCCTTCTCTTCTTAAGACTTTTAATATCAAAGTTGTATTTAAAAATCTTGATACAGTAAAAAAAAAAACTTTTGATAAAAATTCCCCCAAAATGCTGACGGATGTGTCTATAAGATTCCATGTAAAATTTGCGATAAAGTTTATTACGGTCAAACTTGTAAAAATCTCGAACTAAGATTAAAACAACATAAATATAGGGTGGGTGCAGGAGGAAAGAGGAGTGATTGGTGGAATGATGAAGTAAAGGGTGTGATAAAAGAGAAAAAGGTAGCTTATGAGAGGTTTTTACAAAGCAGAAGTGTTATAAGAAGAGCAGAGTATATGGAGAGTAAAGAAAGGTGAAGAGTGGTGAGAGAGTGCAAAAGGAGAGCAGATGAAAGAGTGGGAGAGGCACTGTCAAGAAATTTTAATGAAAATAAGAAAAAATTTTGGAGTGAGTTAAACAAGTTAAGAAAGCCTAGGGAAAGTATGGATTTGTCAGTTAAAAACAGAGTAGGGGAGTTAGTAGATGGGGAGATGGAGGTATTAGGTAGATGGAGAGAATATTTTGAGGAACTTTTAAATGTTGAGGAAGAAAGAGAGGCAGTAATTTCATGCACTGGCCAGGGAGGTATACCATCTTTTAGGAGTGAAGAATAGCAGGATGTAAGTGTGGTGGAGGTACGTGAGGCATTACGTAGAATGAAAGGGGGTAAAGCAGCTGGAACTGATGGGATCATGACAGAAATGTTAAAAGCAGGGGGAGATATAGTTTTGGGAGTGGTTGGTACTTTTGTTTAATAATGTATGAAAGAGGCGAAGGTACCTAGGGATTGGCGGAGAGCATGTATAATCCCTTTATATAAAGGGAAAGGGGACAAAAGAGATTGTAAAAATTATAGAGGAATAAGTTTACTGAGCATACCAGGAAAAGTGTACGGTAGAGTTATAATTGAAAGAATTAGAGGTAAGACAGAATGTAGGATTGCGGATGAGCAAGGAGGTTTCAGAGTGGGTAGGGGATGTGTAGATCAAGTGTTTACATTGAAGCATATATGTGAACAGTATTTAGATAAAGGTAGGGAAGTTTTTATTGCATTTATGGATTTAGAAAAGGCATATGATAGAGTGGATAGAGGAACAATATGGCAGATGTTGCAAGTACATGAAATAGGTGGTAAGTTACTAAATGCTGTAAAGAGTTTTTATGAGGATAGTGAGGCTCAGGTTAGGGTGTGTAGAAGAGAGGGAGAATACTTACCGGTAAAAGTAGGTCTTAGACAGGCATGTGTAATGTCACCATGGTTGTTTAATATATTTATAGATGGGGTTGTAAAGGAAGTAAATGCTAGGGTGTTCGGGAGAGGGGTGGGATTAAATTATGGGGAATCAAATTCAAAATGGGAATTGACACAGTTACTTTTTGCTGATGATACTGTGCTTATGGAGATTCTAAAGAAAAAATTGCAAAGGCTAGTGGATGAGTTTGAGAATGTGTGTAAAGGTAGAAGTTGAAAGTGAACATAGAAAAAGAGTAAGGCGATGAGGGTATCAAATGATTTAGATAAAGAAAAAATTGGATATCAAATTGGGGAGGAGGAGTATGGAAGAAGTGAATGTTT